TTTTCTGATAGAAAAATTAATTTAATCAAAAGAATGAGAAAACACTGCCAATTCATGAATAAAACTTCCCAAGGTCTTTGAAGCAAGAATACATATATATATATATATATACTTACAGCAAATAAGAAATTACTAGTAAGGTAAAAAATCAATTTACTCATGTCAGTTCACCTTGTTGACAAGAGTGCCATGTGTACTGTCCAGATCCATTATATACCAGCCATACTTAGAATCAGTCTGTGCCTCATCATTCGCGACAGTTTCGGAATGACCTCGTCGGCTGGGACCATTGCCGTATTGCAACACCGCATGACACCGACTGACAGAAGGATGGGCCAGCACAATTGGCTGCCCACTAATGTTAGACACTTCACCAGCAAGGCCAATGAGACCAGAATCTGGATCGAGGATACGGGGCTGACGGCCGAGGATACAGTAGCTGTAGCCGAGGCCATCAGCAACCGAGTCGCTATCGCTATCAACCGCCTTTTCAACACTTCCCTCATTAATTTTTTCATCATTTGTGTCTTCAGCCTCGTCTACCTTCGATTCAAGAGTTTTGTCTGCCTTAGAGGTGTCTGCTAAACTAGGAGAATGAAGAGAATGTGTTGAGATTGTAGAGGGAGTTGGGCAACCAGCAAGATCGACTGCATCTTCCAGCATTTGTATACCAAGTTTGAGTACAGTAAGTCGATAGCCAAGATGGTGCGGACAAGCTTTGGCCCAAGTTGGTGGAGTGTATTCATGAAGGCTTGGTGGAGTAGGCTGACAGAGAATGAAAGACAAAGTAATTCTGAGGATAACTTGTGTCAAAGATTATGTGAATGGAAGAATAAAATAAATGGAGGGCGGTTCAAATAATAAATAAATGACTTTGGGGGTTCATTTTTGGGTTGCATATATGCATACATGCTTAATAAAATCAACAATTTAAAGAGATGTCAGGTCAAAACGAGTGAGCAGTTAGGGAAAATGTATCCCTAAATTAAGAGCAAATGCATTATGGGGGTATTTTATGCGTGATGTAATTTTTTATTCAGTCACATCGCCAATACATCAATTTGGCGAAAAAAGAAATACCTGTGTCTTAATGAGTTTGACGCTACCTCCGTTGATACCCTATGCTCAAACTTGACGAGATATTTCGTAATCGCAATCCATTACTTCACTATTCCCAGCAAAGCTATTTCAGCACATTTTAAAAAAAGTAAATAGAAAGCCTTCTTACTGTGCCCCATAGACCAGTGACTAAAATCAAACATAAATTGGCACATTATATCAGATTTAAGGAAGACTGGCCGACTCCTTAATTAAATGGGAATATAAATTGTTTGGATGAGTAAAAAATAATCTCAGTGATGAATGGGCCAATAGCCCTCAAAACCAATTTTATGGAAAGCATTTTTTTTTTATCAGAAGAGGTAGATTAAACTTTTAAATGAATCCTTCAGGTAGCAATAAAATTTACTCACTAGGATCCGTTTGAGGAATCAGTAGTTCAAAAATATGGACACGTTTTTGCAAAATTGGAAGATTAGGTTTACCAAGGGCTAAATAATCAAACATGTTGAGTTTTGACATTAAGTATAAGCAAAGTAAACGTTAAAGCTTATTATAAAAGCGAAGC